TCTGGCACTTCCCGAGGCACCCATGCCTCCTGTCACCTGACAGTGCTCTTGGCCACTCATTATCAGTGCTTCTCTGTTTAATCTCAAGTCATTTCTACCAGCTTCCTTCGGAGACCAGTAAAGCAATTTTCTATTAGGTCACAAGCAGATTTCTAGAAAAGCAACCAACCTGTACCGGAGCCTTGGCAACTCACACAAGCACCCGGCTCTGCCTTGGAGAGAGACATTGCCAGTGGGTGGCAGCATGAACCAGAGCGGGTCACATTTCTTCTGTTATCTGTAGGTTGAATTTCAAAACAACTGGAGAGTACAGGCTCAGAAGGCAAGCCTAGAAGCAGCCTGCAAACGAATGCAGGGAAGAGCAAGGTTTCTGGCCATAACACAGCTTTACAAGACACTAGGGCACCTGGCGGGAAGCTGGTAGCTCCAGCCCCACCCCTATCTCCTGTGCAGTTTTCAAAACTGGGGAGAGATAGCTTGCTCCTAGAACCAACAGTGAGATCAATGAACTCAGGCTGACCTTCCCCCCTCCTATTACACTTGTACTCTGCACAAGGTCACTTGCAGCTGTCCCCACTGCACCCCCCCCTCTCTCCCAGAAAATAGAGCTGTGTCATGTTAGAGACATTTTTAATGTCATCTGCTCTTGATGTGCAAAACGAGAAGCAATTTTGTTCTGCTCTGGCAGAAAAACAAAAGAAAACAAGAACGTTTTAACCCAGCAGCTAGAACAGCAGCAAACAAGACGCAGAGCAATGGTTTAGTCATGCAAAACAGGATCATATGATATTACAGGAGCCAGACATTCCAAGGAAAAGTGTGGTCCAAGAAGGAACTCTCAAGTCATTTTCTGGTACTCAGCAATGCTATGCAGATGTTAGTGTAGACTTCTTTCTGGCAGTGCTGGGGATTGAACCCAGGGCCTCAGAGGTGCTAGGCAAGTGCTTCACTACTGAGCTATACCCCCAGCACCAATGTGTAATGTTTTAATTCAGTCATGGAAAGTCTTGTTGGAAAAGGGGCTTTGTTGTGTTTTTTAAATCTACAAATATAGTCTAAAAATTCAAACATAACACAATCCAGAGGAGCATTAAGAAGAATTTTAAGTTCCTAACTACAATTATTTTTAATGGAGTACTTATATTTCTTTGACATAATCAGATTTAAAATGAAAATATTCTGAATATTTGATTAGCTTCATTTGTACCTACTACGTATTTTTTTCAAATAGTATGAATTTGATCCTACACTTTTCAGAAGAATTCTTATTTTTAAAAGTCATGGTTACCATAGACAAGCATTAAGTAAACATTTCTTTTAGAAATCCCCTCCCCAAATGAGCACTTAGGAGCATTAAGCCTATTTAATCAATGTTTTCAGTGAGAATAAATACCAAAGTGGAAAGCCGTTACAATTTCCAAGGAACTGCTCCAATGCATTGACAAATTGTAATTCTTCACATGGTTGCAGTGCAATTCACACACAGTAAATGAGCCAAGCAGCCGTCAAATTCTTGCAGGTAAATCATCATTGCACATCCAGAGTTATTAGCATGTTACAAAATTGTTGTGCAATTTCACTTGAAACATATTAGCAAATAGATTTGTGCAGAAAAACAAAAAACAAAACAAAACAAAAAAACCTAGCTGGTAACAGTAAGTCCCCCAGTGAGTCCTAGATGAGCAAAAGTCTGTGCAGGGTTCATTTGCATCAGAGAATGAAAATGTATTAAAAGAGCTACTGAATTCCAATATTTAGTACAGTGAGGTAGGAGGAAATGTTGCCATTCTTTCTAAAGACTAAATATATCCTTTGACACAAACCTGTGAAGCTAAAATCTGTACCTCCTAAAATACAGTTTGGTTAGGTAGCATTCCCCTTAACAACCTGCTTAGTCAGTTTTTAGACTGAGTTCACTCAGACACAAAATACTGTCAAACACCTACAGGGTACAGAATTAAAAAGATCAAAAACTCACAAGCACTGAGAGGCTATCTACTTTTCTCCTTCACTCCATGTCTTTTTCTTACATGAAAGGAAGGCAAAAGTGTTTGTTATTGTTAGTAACAGCAGCATTTGTATTCTGGGTTTGTGACACGTTTTATCATTTTACAAAATCGATCTCTTGATGTAAAGTTATTATTCCCCAAAGGACTTTTTTCTTGTACTAAAAGAATCTTTATTGCATGAGTCTATGTTAAATTTCCAAACTAAAAACCTTCTCGCTAAAAAGAGATGGCCATTTTGTGAGCTGTGAGAGGAAATCCAGCTTCCAGCCAAAGATCTTGAACCCTGAGAAAAAACTGCATCCAGACTGCTTGTTGGCAACACGCCAGGAAGCAGCACCCAGTCCCGCATGCTGCACGTCAACAGATGTGATTAGCTGACTTTTGCTGAAAAAGTATGGGAGAACAGTTGGAAAATCACAAGGTGCAGAGCAAGCTTTCAATAAATAAGTGGCTTATTTAACAAAAGAAAAGGGGAAATAAAAGGTGCTCCTTCGGTGAGGAAGATGGGTGCTTGTAGTGAAAAGGGTCTTCAAGGGCTGACTCATGTGGACTGAAATTAACCTCCCACATTTAGACACAGACGTTCCAGGATTTCCGAATTATGAAGTTTACAGTTTGCTGTAGGAGACAGCTACTGGTAGAGGCGGTAATCCTTTACCCTCCCTCTTGGCTCCTAGCTAAGTAACTGAGGCAGCACAAGAGGAAAGTGTCACCTGTCAACTTGGAGACTCTGACACATTAACCTAACATCCAGGCATTTAATACTACCATAGCCCTAAAGAACACAAACAAAGCTGACACTTGCTAACATCCAATCCATACAGGAAGGCAATACAGGATGCATATGTGAAATTTTGCATTAAAAGTCAAACCCCAAAAGAAAACGAAATAATTGCAAAAGATACTTTTCAGAAGAAAGCATTGCATGATGCTGACCAGAGATGGACTCATTATCTCTGTCTGCTATTTAAGGTTATAGAACATAGAGGCATGCCCGTTTATGTCCCTAATAAAGTGGAATGTGGATGATCAGAAAGCCAATAAAATTGGGTCACGTTTTCCAAGACGGGAATCCTTTGTTTCTTGAGTAGACATACTGCTAGGCAATATATGTTAACATGAAACCAGCAGCAAAGTCTTAATAGAGAAGCAAGGCCTGATCTCCATGAAGGCAGTGGCCTCAACACACACACAAACACACACGCACACACACCACACACACACACAGAGGTGCACACTTAAAACCGCATTCATCGAGGTATTATTTTTAAAGGTCTGGTTTAAAAATGGAAGATACAGCTCTTTGAGGCCCAAATTTATGCTACTCATCAGAAATCATAACTGCAAACACGCTGAAAATAAAAATTCTCCAATCTTTCTTAGGATGTCACCGACTCTGAAAGTCGTAAAAGCCACCTAGATGCAAAAATTCGAAGCAGTTCTTCAAGGGCATCTTCGGCTGGGCACCGCGCCCGCGGCCGCGCTCGCAGGTAGGGAACGCCCACCGAGCGGGTGCGCGGGCGCGGGGCGGGGTCGCGCGCAGAGGGCGCCCGCCGCGGGGACCCGCTCCCTGCGCTGCGCCTTGCCCAGGCCCGCCTCTTCCCGGCGCTATGGAAACCGCATTTTCCTCCGCCTGCACGTCCTCCTCCTCTCTCCTATCACATCCCAAACAGACGACTTCCACTTCCCGGGAACCTGACAAGTGAATGGCGCTGATGACGCCCCGGAAAAGCCCACGGCCGCGGGGTGCGGGGGAAGGGCGCACCCCGGGCGGGTGGGGCCGCGGGAACGTCGCGCGGCCCGGTTCCGGGGCGCCACGCCCGCGCCCCTCGCGCCCCAGCTCTCCTCCCCGGAAAGGGCACGGAGCGGCGATCGATCCGGAGCTCGCAGGCGACTACCGCGATGCTCGTAAACAAGCCGGGGCCGTGCGCCCGCCACCCCCGCGGCCCGGCACCGGGCACCGCCCAGGGCGGACCAGCCGCGGGCGGGGGCGCGCGCCCACCCGAGCTTGGCGCGGGATCCGCTCACCGCACTGGGGAAAAGGGGGTGCGAGGGGCTGCCAAGCCCACTGTCCCTTCTTGCCTCTGCAGGCCGAGAGAGGGGCTGCCACCGCCCCCCGTCCCCCGCCCCGGTCCGCCTCTCGGGCCCCGGATCTCCTCCAGCCCGCGCCCCCTCCCCGGCGGAAGCCTGGAGCCCAATTAATTGAGTCAAAGGCGGGAGGGAAGGGCCCTCCGCTGCGGCCCGCCCCCGCCCCTCCTCCGCGCCCCCTTTCCCGCCCTGGGTGGCATCTCCTCCGCCGGCATCCACAACGAGCCTCTGATTAATGAGGCCCGGCCCGGCCCCCACCGCGTCGGCCCCGGCCTCCGCGGGAGGGGGAGGGGACGGCGGGAAACACGGCCCCGGGAGAAAGGGGGGCGGGGCGGGGGCGCTGGGCCCGCCCTACCCCGAGCCTTGCGCCCATTGGCCGCGCGCGCCGTCCGTCGGGGGGCGCGGCGCCAATGCCGGGCGGAGGGGCGGGGCGACCGCGCCGTGTGTGCCTGCGTAACGCCAAGTCACATGTTGTTTTGCTCTTCTTAGTTCAGTCACTCGGTGCGCGATGTGTTACTCACTGTGCGGCGGGGACCGCGACGAGCCCAGGTCGCCGTTGGCAGCAGCAGCAGCAGCAGCAGCAAAGGCAGCAGCCCCGGCGGCGGCGGCGGCGGCGGCGCGGACCCCGAGTGTCCGGGAGCACCCCGGCTTTCTGGAGCGCGGCACCGCGGCAGCCCTGGTGCGGCCGCGCGCACCTTAGGCTCGGCCCCGCGGCTCGGGGACCCCGACTCTCGGCCCAGCCAGCGAGTCCCCAGGCGCCGCCCGAGAGCCTGGGAGGCGGCGGTCGCGGGCAGCCGGGCCAGGGGACAACCACCGCCCGCTCCGGGCATCCTCGGGAACCGCGGAGCGCGGAGGGCGCTGCGCCACCGAACCACCGAGCCGGACGGGCCTCCTCGGACCTTCCCCACCTCCTGGGCCCGAGGGACGCGCGCTTGGGCGGGCGGCCGGGCGACGGGTGGCAGGGAGCTGCCCCCGCCCGCGCCCCTCCGCGCCGGGCCGGGTGGCGCGGCCTGAATCGCCCGCGATGGCGAGCCCGCCGCTGAATGGGCCCCCTGGGCCGGCGGGCGGCGACGGCCCGAACCTCAACAACAATAACAACAACAACAACCACAGCGTGCGCAAGTGCGGCTACCTGCGCAAGCAGAAGCACGGCCACAAGCGCTTCTTCGTGCTGCGCGGGCCCGGCGCGGGCGGCGACGAGGCGACAGCGGGCGGGGGGTCGGCGCCGCAGCCGCCGCGGCTCGAGTACTACGAGAGCGAGAAGAAGTGGCGGAGCAAGGCGGGCGCCCCGAAGCGGGTGATCGCGCTTGACTGCTGTCTGAACATCAACAAGCGAGCCGACGCCAAGCACAAGTACCTCATCGCCCTCTACACTAAGGACGAGTACTTCGCGGTGGCGGCCGAGAACGAGCAGGAGCAGGAGGGCTGGTACCGCGCTCTCACCGACCTGGTCAGCGAGGGCCGCGCGAGCGCTGGCGACGCGGCCAGCTCCGCGTCCTGCAGCGCCTCCCTGCCGGGCGCCCTGGGCGGCTCTGCCGGCGCCGCGGCGGCCGATGACAGCTATGGGCTCGTGGCACCCGCCACGGCCGCCTACCGCGAGGTGTGGCAGGTGAACCTGAAGCCCAAGGGCTTGGGCCAGAGCAAGAACCTGACGGGCGTGTACCGCCTGTGCCTGTCGGCGCGCACCATCGGCTTCGTGAAGCTCAACTGCGAGCAGCCGTCGGTGACGCTGCAGCTCATGAACATCCGCCGCTGCGGCCACTCAGACAGCTTCTTCTTCATCGAGGTGGGCCGCTCGGCCGTCACAGGCCCCGGCGAGCTGTGGATGCAGGCCGACGACTCGGTGGTGGCGCAGAACATCCACGAGACCATCCTGGAGGCCATGAAGGCGCTCAAGGAGCTCTTCGAGTTCCGGCCGCGCAGTAAGAGCCAGTCGTCCGGGTCTTCGGCCACCCACCCCATCAGCGTCCCCGGCGCGCGCCGTCACCACCACCTGGTCAACCTGCCCCCTAGCCAGACAGGCCTGGTGCGGCGCTCACGCACCGACAGCCTGGCTGCCACCCCGCCGGCCGCCAAGTGCAGCTCCTGCCGCGTTCGCACGGCCAGCGAGGGCGATGGCGGCACGGCGGCAGGGACCGGGACAGCGGTCGGCAGGCCAGTGTCGGTGGCCGGGAGCCCCCTGAGTCCCGGGCCGGTGCGCGCGCCCCTGAGCCGCTCGCACACCCTGAGCGGCGGCTGCGGTGGCCGCGCGAGCAAAGTGACGCTGGCACCGGCAGGGGGCGCTCTGCAACACAGTCGCTCCATGTCCATGCCGGTGGCGCACTCACCCCCGGCCGCCACCAGCCCCGGCAGCCTGTCGTCCAGCAGCGGGCACGGCTCAGGCTCCTACCCGCTGCCCCCAGGCCCGCACCCGCACCTGCCGCACCCATTGCACCACCCCCCAGCTCAGCGCCCCTCCAGCGGCAGCGCCTCTGCCTCCGGTTCCCCCAGCGACCCCGGCTTCATGTCGCTGGACGAGTACGGCTCCAGCCCTGGCGACCTGAGGGCCTTCTGCGGCCACAGGAGTAACACGCCCGAGTCCATCGCGGAGACGCCCCCTGCCAGGGATGGCAGCGGGGGCGAGCTGTATGGGTACATGACCATGGACAGGCCCCTGACCCACTGTGGCCGCCCCTACCGCAGAGTCTCTGGAGATGGGGCCCCGGACTTGGATAGAGGGCTGAGAAAGAGGACTTACTCGCTGACCACACCTGCCCGGCAGCGGCCGGTGCCCCAGCCCTCCTCTGCCTCCCTGGATGAGTACACCCTAATGCGGGCCACCTTCTCAGGCAGCTCAGGCCGCCTCTGCCCGTCATTCCCCACCTCCTCCCCCAAAGTGGCCTATCACCCCTATCCCGAGGACTATGGGGATATCGAGATTGGGTCTCACAGGAGCTCCAGCAGCAACCTGGGGGCAGATGATGGCTACATGCCCATGACCCCTGGCGCAGCCCTCATGGGTGCCAGCGCCAGCGGCTGCAAAAGCGACGATTACATGCCCATGAGCCCCACCAGCGTGTCTGCCCCCAAACAGATCCTGCAGCCCAGAGCTGGTCCCGCAGCTGCCTTGCCCCCCACAGGAGCAGCAGTGCCAGCGCCCCCCTCTGCAGCTGGCAGGACCTTCCCAGTGAATGGGGCCGGCTACAAGGCCAGCTCCCCGGCAGAGAGCTCCCCAGAGGACAGTGGGTACATGCGCATGTGGTGTGGATCCAAGCTGTCCGTGGAGAACACCGACTCAAAGCTGCTTCCCAATGGGGACTACCTCAACATGTCCCCCAGTGAGGCGGGCACTGCTGGCACCCCACCCGACTTCTTCTCGGCAGCCTTGCATGGTGGGGAGGAGGTGCTCAAAGGTGTCCCAGGGTACTGCTACAGCTCCCTCCCCCGCTCCTACAAGGCTTCCTACACCTGCAGTGGGGACGGCGACCAGTACGTGCTCATGAGCTCCCCCGTGGGGCGGATCCTGGAAGAGGAGAGGCCTGAGACTCAGTCTACCCCAGGGACTTCCCAGTTGGCCAGCAGCTTTGGGGCTGGTGGAGGCAACCACATTCAGTCTTATCATCCAGCAGTACCTTCACCTATGAGGCCAGGTGGCGGAGGTGGCCGCCCAGATGGCTTCCTGAGCCATCGCTGCCGGGCAGTGCGACCCACACGCTTGTCCTTAGAGGGGTTGCAGACCCTGCCCAGCATGCTCGAGAACCCACTGCCCCCAGAACCCAAGAGCCCTGGCGAGTACATCAACATAGACTTTGGCGAGGCAGGAACCCAGCTGTCACCGCCTGCCCCTCCGCTGCTGGCATCAGCGGCCTCGTCCTCTTCACTGCTGTCTGCTAGCAGCCCAGCCTCATCCCTGGGCTCAGGCACCCCGGGCACAAGCAGTGACAGCCGGCAGCGCTCCCCACTCTCTGACTACATGAACCTGGACTTCAGCTCCCCCAAGTCCCCCAAGCCTGGCACCCGCAGCGGGGACCCCATGGGCTCTCTGGATGCCCTTCTTTCCCCTGATGTCTCCTCCCCCTATCCACCACTGCCCCCTCGTCCCTCTGCCTCCCCGTCCTCTCTACAGCAGCCCCCACCCCCCCCAGGGGAGCTGTACCGCCTGCCTCCAGCATCTGCCGCTGCCACCTCCCAGGGCCCCAGTGCTACTTCCTCGAAGTCCTCTGAACCTGGGGACAATGGTGACTACACCGAAATGGCCTTTGGTGTGGCTGCCACCCCGCCACAACCCATTACGGCACCCCCAAAGTCCGAAGGTGCCCGAGTGACCAGCCCCACATCGGGCCTGAAGAGGCTGAGTCTGATGGATCAGGTGTCTGGAGTTGAGGCCTTCTTGCAGGCCAGTCAGCCCCCCGATCCCCACCGGGGGGCCAAAGTCATCCGGGCAGACCCGCAGGGGGGCCGCCGCCGTCACAGCTCAGAGACCTTCTCCTCCACCACCACAGTCACTCCTGTGTCCCCGTCCTTTGCTCACAACCCTAAGCGCCACAGCTCAGCCTCTGTGGAAAACGTGTCTCTCAGGAAAAGCAGTGAGGGCGGTTGCAGCAGCATTCTAGGAGGGGGCCTTGGAGGAGGTGACGAGCCACCCACATCCCCAGGACAGGTGCAGCCCCCGCTCCCTGGGCCCCTGCCACCACAGGCACGGCCTTGGACCCCAGGTCAGCCTGGTGGGTCTCCCATGCGAAGAGAGATCTCCTCGGGTTTCCAAAACAGCCTCAACTACATCGCTATCGATGTGAGGGATGAGCCTGGGCTCTTGCCCCAACCTCAGCCCCAGCACCCACAGCCAGGAGACAAGAGCTCCTGGGGCCGGACCCGTAGCCTGGGGGGTCTCCTCAGCGCTGTGGGGGGCAGCAGCACCAGTGTGGGCTGTGGGGGTCCGGGCCCCGGTGCCCTGCCCTCTGCCAGCACCTACGCCAGCATTGACTTCCTGTCGCATCACCTGAAGGAGGCCACAGTTGTGAAAGGTGAGGCCCTTTGACCTTGAGGTTGTAGAAGGAAGGAGGCTGGGGGGTGGTGTAAACCCTCTGGGCTTCTCTCGTCCCTCCTGGGTTCCTTGACCTAAATGCTGTCATGCTGGCTCAGACTTGTTGCTTTTGGCTTCCACATCCCCCTCTTTCCCTAAAGAGCTTGTCAGGAACATTCAGATGGCCTTTGGGTTGAATTGACGCCTTCCCGTGGGAGGGAAACTTTGACCTTGTTTCAGGTTCATCTCCTTTCTTGTGTCCTGTGACCCTTCGTCCTATCTCTTGGTGGCTGAAAGTTCTCTAGATTAGCCACACCAGAGGCAGACTGTGAAGCGAGTCCAGATCTGGATAGTTTGGGGACCTAAAGGCACCAGCTGCTCCCTCTTCCTGTGCTGGAGGCTGGGTCCCAGGGCACCCCCAAAGTCTGAAGATGCCCGAGTGACCAGCCTCAAGATGTATAAAAATTTACCTGAGAATCCTTCAGGAAGTGTGCCTTGGTTTTAGTGGCTTCTCAAGGGAGTAGTTACAACCATCCCAAGTTTGCACACGAACTGTAGGAGCTTGTTCATTCATGACATGATGGTTCCCTTAGGGGTGAAATGGCAGTGTTGCTTAAGCAGCCCAGCAGTGGTGGTTCTCATCTGAGCACATCTGCTTGTCACCTGGCAGGTGTGCTGCACCACAGACACTGGGCAGTTAAACCCCATGGCTCTGAGCCCAGAATGGATATTTCTTTTTTGGGTGTTTTGTTTGTTGGGTGATTGAGACAGAGTATCTCTGTGTAGCCCAGGCTGGCCTCAAATTCAAGAACCCCCTGCCTCAGCCCTGCTAAGTGCTGGTCTTACAAGTGTGTACCACACAACGGGCATTTCCTTAAGTCCTTATGTTTTGCTGTGTTGCTGCTGCTTGTGGGACACCAGATGACATTCATCTGGGGTGGTTTGAGAAATCCAGGCCCATTAAAGTAAGTCATGGGCTGGGCAGAGTCCAGGACCTGGCGTTTCTCCATACTGCCCAGGTGGTTTTAAAGTACAGCCACGTTACAGAATCAGTGCTTTAAGGAAAACGAGGAAAAGACAGAAACACAGGTCTTTTCAATACCCTCGACATGAGGGTGCGCAGTGCTGCTCTCCCATCTCATCAAATACCCATGAGCACAGAGATGTGCTTGCCCTGGGCTGCTGGGGCCTTCTGGCTGTCTCAGACAGTGGATGGGGCAGGAGGGAGAGCCAGGCGTGGCTAGAGTGCTGCTTTGTGGCATTGCTAGCAGGACAGACTGTGGGCACCAGTAGCAAGTAGTGTTATCAGAAGCTGTGACTGGTGCTGGCCTAAGGTCACCAGTCTTGAGGGTTAGACTTGCAGGTGCACACATATGCCTTTTGTTGTTAAAGCAAGCAGACCAGATTAATGCCTTCTAAATCTGGTATGTTTTGCAGAACACTTGAAACTGTGTGATTTAAAAGTATAGCTGTAGGGTGAGTACCCTGCCCTCCAAATGTAGTAGAGGCAAAGCTATTTCTTTTTTTATTAAAACTGTAGACTAGAAAGTGAAAAGTCAGTGAATTATCAGAAGCATCTAATTACATCAGCTAGAGGTTGTCAGAATATGTGTCATACACAGTGACTCAGCTGAAGGTCACTTTGCTTAGAGTTGTGTTAAACAATAAAGATTGCTGGAGTGCCAGAGACTCAAAGGACTGCCTGCTGTCTAGGCCACAGAACATGTAAACACAGCAGCAGAACGTGACTTAGTGGGAAGGAGGCACACGCATACGCACACATTCACGCGCACACACACAGTTCGGTGTGCCCACGTGAGTATACACAAAAGTGAGTGTGAAAACTACTTTTTGTCCAACTCTGATTCTGACTAGAAGTACAGCTTGAGACTGGAACACCTTCCCTGCCCCTGGTAGAGGGCATGGGTTGAACCTGTAGTCCTGAGGTGGGGCCAGGAGTGGGTTCTCCTGCCTGGCGTGGGCTGGAGCCCAACCTGCATTACCTGAGAAGACTCAGCCTCTCTGATGAAATCACTGCATTCATAAACACTATTTGTATGTGTGACAAATGTCCCTTGCGGACTAGTGAGAGAGTTCTGAGCCTGATGAGTTTGTATGCCCGATTTAGAGGTCTCACTTCACGTTTTCCACAAGTATGAAATCGCTTTCCACCTACGGAATCCAGGATTCTGAAACTAAGCAGCAGTTGTAGGCTCCGTGGTTATTGAATAAAGAGGTCGTTTTGGTTGTTTTTCCAAGGTCTGTGGGTATCATGGTAAACACTTTTCTAAAAAGGAAAAGAGCTATTTTAAAGAAAAGTAGATAACTGCAGTTTGCGCAGTTGTGTCAAAACCACGTTTTAAAAAAAAGACACATCCACTAAATTGGATTTCTAGTAAAGTGACTTGACCAGAGAACAGCAGGATGGGGTCTGTTGAGCCAGAAAGGAACATTTAGAAACTCAGAATGCACGCCCTCTCTTCCGCAGCTCGCACATGTAGGTAGAAACTTGTTTGTGATGCTCACAGATTTAAAGTTCACAGTAGGTGACTGTCCTGTGGGAGAATCACTTATAGAACTCAGTCTTGACCATTTCTTTGAAGATGAAATAGCAAACACACTTCCTGGCAGCCGCCTGCTCTGCCCCAGCTCAGCAAAGGGTCTGTGGCTCCATACAGAGCAGCTGGTGTTCCATATAGGACGAGCTCATTAGTGAGGTGGAAGAAGAACAGTTTGGGGCAAGTTGGGTGATGTTTAGTGTTTGCATGAGTGGTAACAGACTGAAGTTTCAGCAGTGTTTGATAGTTAGCTATAGTAGGATTGAGAAAGGGGTGGGGATTAAACAGAGCCGATTAAAAAGCTAGTATACCTCAGGGGTGTGTGTATGTGTGTGCTCACGCGTGCATACGTAGTTCAGAGCAAGTCCAAATTCTGTATTTTATTTGGGGGCGAGGGAGGGTGATTTGTGATGTGTTTTGTGTGAGCATATAGAAAGATCTGGCCAATCTGTTAGGATTTTGCTGTTGTTTGGAAATTGGAAATACATTATTGAATTTATTGTGTTTGAAAACTACTTTTTATAATTTATTTTGCGTGAGGATTATAAATTGGTATATTCACTAAGATAAGTAATTTTAATTTTCCTCCCCCGTGGGGTTTTTATTCTAACATTGGTATTTATGGATGGAAGAAGCAGGTTAGGTAAGAACTTGGAAAAGCATCTGCCTTTAAATTTGGGATGATAAAAGGACTGTCCACTCAGTATAAGATTCTGGGATAAGAGAGGTCCAGTAGAATCATAATCTATGTCCAAAAAGTATTGCCTCTCAAAGTCTTAAAGCAAAGAATTTGTATGTATTCAGAAATCCAGTGGGATTCCTAGACGCCACACCAGCCTTGCTTGCTCTCCGTGTGGTGCCCGTGACTCTGTCCGAGTCATAGCCCTTGTCAGGATGAGACAGAGCTGTGCAGGGTGGCTCCCACCCTCCTTGCAGGAAGAGACAGCTGAGGTGCTAAGGAAAACACACAGGCTTTCCTGAATGAAAGTCACGTGATTCGCTCTGATTCCTTTATTGAAAGAGAAACCTTTACAAAAATAGTGCTTCAGAGGAGGAAGCCTGGAGTCAGGAAGCCAGGTTTCTGGTTGCTAATCTTGAGTGGCTCTGTGGCTCTGGGCGTTCTGTCTGTGAAATGGGGTGATTCTGTTAATGGCGCTGGTGCAGTCTGTGATCAGAAGCCTTCCAAATTCTTTGTGTCCAGTGGGGAAGAATCCATCACAGGACACATGGATGTAAATAAAAGTTAGGGAAGGGAAATACAGAGGAAAGCATGGTGGGGCTCAGGTGGCAGCTGGAAGCTGAGTGTGCCCCCTCTTCAGGTGTGATTAAAACCCATGCTAACCTATGGGAAAGGGAGCTAGGTGATTCCCATCCAATCATCAATGAGTGGGGAGGGGCGTGGTGGTCCCCAGCCAGGTGAGGGCGGTCCTTGGACCAGAGCTTGGTTAATCTAAGATGTAGTATTTTTTCTAAAGTCCCTACGTTAGCCTGCCTCAATTCCAGTGCTGTCCTTGCTGTCACAAGGTCACTGGGACTCAAAGGAGCTCATAAGCATTGAGTCTGTTCTAAGTCCCTCTAAAGGAAGTGCAGTCACTCTCCAGATACTTACCACTTTGAAAGTGTGGATACACACGGGAAAGGCACTTTTGTAAGCGGGTTCTCTTAACGAACATACAAAAACATACCAAGCTGTTCTGTCGGTGGTCTCAAATACGGCCAGTGCCTGGTTAAGACCACTGCCTCTTTGCTAAGTGCACTGTCTCCTGGAACAAGAACCAGCTTCCTACTCCTTTGGTTCAAGATTTCTTCATGGGGCAGGGGGTGTCACTTAGTGGTAGAGTGAGTGCTTTGCGTGTGAGCTGCTCTGGGTTCCACTTCCATTGCTAGCAAAACAAAACAAAAGATTTGTTCATAGGAAATTTAACAAAAGTAACAAAGTTGTGTTTTCTGCTACATAGTAGAGTAACAATTAAGGAAAACATCTGACTCCTGACTTAGAGTGAGCTTTGAATTGCTTTGCTGATTTGTTCATGTATGGAGAGCTATTGACAGGGTGAGACTATAATCACAAAAGTCATTTTGTAAACATGGCGCTTATACGGGACATAGGAAGATGGGAGGGCCTGGCTCTGCCCCTGTGGTGTCCATCGCTCTTCTGGGATTTGCTTCTGGCTGCCTTACTTTGCAGGCTCCCTGCTGAGGCTGTGATTTGTAGCTCTGAGCTGTTTGGTTGTCAAAATAGAGTAAGAAAATGTTTGATTCTTTTGTTCTTCACCCCAAAGAGGAATTTTAATAGATAGCGCTGTTTTCTTTAGCAGTATCAGTATTATACTGAAGCTCTTTGTGTGAAGAGAAGTTTTAGCACAGCAAGGAAATAATGGCTTTTCTCTTAAGATTTCCACTCATGCATTTTCTTTACAAGCACAGCGCCAAGAGCCAGGTA